AATTAAATTTATAAAAATTTTATAAACAAAAATAATTTATCCATAGCACAAAATAATTGTTTTATTATTAATTTAATTTATCCGTTAAATGTATTGTTGCTATAGGCAATGCGATAGTCAATATAGCAAACTACGCACTATAATTTTATAAAATTATCATTTGATATAAAATGAATAGTGTAGGAGCGTATTTAGTTTTAATATTTATATTTAAATAAAATCATTAAGATTTTCAATAAATATTTAAGTTAAATCATAAAATTTAACACAATTTAAACTATGTACGCGACAACTATACACGTTGCTTAATTATACACGAGTACTGTTTAAACAAGTTGCTATTATCATAAATAAGATAAAGTTCTTAGCTTATAAAAGTTAACCAATTATATCATTTGCTATAAAACAATAACGTTGAGTTTTTTGGAATATAATATAGGTTCTACCCCAAAAGGCCTACTTTGACATAAAATCTAAATATCTTTAGATTCACTACATTATTGTGGACCAAAGTTTAAATATAACCTAGCTCAATAGTATTACATAAATTACGCTAATATATTTGACGTTATTTATGCAATATAAGCATTTATTGCATAATTGTTGGTGAAATTTTGATAAATGTAAATAAACGTAATTTGGTAAGTAAATAAGTTACGTAAAATTAGTCTAACGTAATTTATGACTAAATTAATAAGTTCTAGACTTAATTAAACTTATTTGACCAGTTTATCACTTTTAATTAATAAGTAATTTCGAATTTTGTAAAAGTAGGCCTTTTAGGCCGTAGGCGTTTTGGGCGAGTCCGATAATATATCATAAACTATTATTAATAACTTTAATTTTTAGAATATAAAAATAATTACAATCATTATTGTACTGGTATAATTTAAAAAGAGTTTTGTTTTATTAAACTTGCAACATATATTTATATTAGTATTGAATTAATCGTTATAGACATTTTAAAAATTTTGTTGGGATGTCTTATTTCAATAATATCCTGAATTGTGAGTATTTTATATTAAATCTATTCTCTTAGAGGGAAACAATTTCATTTCATAAAGTATATTGTATTAAATTGGTTATAATTTAAATTAACTAGTTATTATAGACTAAATTTTATTATTATTTTAATCTAATTAAAAAAATTATTATATTTATGACTAAAAACTGTAATACAATTCAAATTTAAAATAAAGTTTTATTTAGAAATAATTCTTTTAAATTCATTTGAATCCGACAACACTTTTCTACAATCTTATATTTTAAAATTTAGAAGATATTACAGAACAGGTCAGACACAAATCCACTTAAAGTTAACAAGCTCCTTTCTGTGCCAGTACAGGTGCTTTTTAGGCAGTCGCCTAATATCAAAATCCTGTCTATCCTTAATTAAGAAGTTGTTGATAATTTTAAGTAGTATGTGCTTGACTATTTGCGGTTATCATCCAGGCAATTGTGCATAAGGTTATAGTCCTATAATATACTCCGGGAACTGTTTTTATGGTCCGGTTTGTTGGCAAGGGTATATAAATTAAATTAATTACCATGATAAATAAAATGCAATGGCAACTTTCATACTTTAGTTAGTACTTATAGGATGAGTTATAAATTATAACCTTAAACTTTACCATATGATTAACATGTTAAATAACTTTTTTTAAAATTAGAATAGATAAAAAGTGTAAATTATATTTACATAAATTATAAATATACCATAAGATTTTTAGTAATATTCTTTCGGTTGTCAATCGTTATGTTCCTAAATTTATCAATGTAAAATATTTAGATCTGGGTAACTAATTAAAGCTTTTAAATAACAATTTAGTTATTAATTAATGTAATGAAATAAACTGAACTTCAATTTAATTAAATATAATTCTCAGAAAATTAGATTATTAAACAAACTGTATATTTGACAATTACATACACAGTTCTTTTACACACTGTAAATATTGTATTCAAAAAGTAAACTAGCACACAAAAATGTTGTAAATACAAAATTGAATCAATGAGGAATCTGATCGATATTTTTTCAGTACTAAATAACATAATATATAGTTAATATTTTAGCAAGCTATTATAATAATATAAACATAATTACTCGATAGTATTGGTGTCAAAGTTGAACAATTTTTGCACCAAAACACCGGTGCTATATATATAAATTTAACAGAATATTTGCCACTGTGTCTGACTTCCGGTGCCAAATACCTGACCAGACCGGTCGGCCCGCCGGTGTTTCCTATACCCGGACCCTTAATATCAGACAATTTGACAAACCGTCCATTAGATACCGGTGCTATCATAATATTATTAGGCTTTATATTACAATGAATTATAGGTAGAGCACATGTATGCAAATATTGTAGGCACTCCAGTATCTCTAATAGGAGTTCAGATGCCATATAATAGGCCAATGGAGGCAATAGATGTTGGGCATCGACACCGAAATACCCGTGCATTTTAGGCATGAGATCCGTTAATGACATTAAACATCATTCGGATTGTGTGTATAGCATGAGCACCGGTATGTCGTCACCAATGCTGCTGTACTCGAGCCAATTGGACAGTAATTGTCGCGTGAATTATGGGTCCAATTGAGTCAATACATTGAAGGCCTGTATTTGTTGGTTAAAATCGCTTTGATCTGAAAAGTAGTGAATATAATGAAAACTTTGGAAAATTTAATTAAACAATTTAAATGATTAAATGGTGCTTATTATTATATAAATTAATTATAATAAAATAGTCGATAAGTCATATACAGGCTGGGTCCAATTAATTTAATATTTATAATTAGACCCAATGGATTACGGGTCTATTTTTTCCAAACTCCACACTCTGTATAAACCAACCCATGTTAGCCCATCGCATATATCTATTCTAATTTATACAAAACTGATAAACGATACAATATGCAGTTTTAAAAATGAATTTTTTTAATTAATAATTGCTAAATTATTTATCCAATTAGCCGAATAGTTACCTAATTTTAGTTAATTAATCACAAAATTAACTAAATTGTGAAATAAATAAAACTAATTTTGATCATAATTTAGTCAATTGTATACATTTTAAGTTAATTTAATTCGAATTTAGTTAATTTAACGCACAATTAAGTTAATTTAGTTATAAAATAGTTAATGTCACAAATAATTAATTTATTTTAATTCATAATTATCTAAATTTAGTTAAGAATTAAGTATTAAAATATTAATTAACTATTTTGGTAACTAAATTAACTCAATTGTGCGTTAAATTAACAAATTTAAATTAAATTAACTTACTGATGTATAAAATTGACTAAATTATTAACAAAATTAGTTTTATTTATTTCACAATTTAGTTAATTTTGTGAGAAATTAACTTAACTTAGTTAACTATTGGGCTAGTTTAATTCGTAATTTAGTAATTATTAACGAAATACAATTATTATACATGTATTTGTCGCCCTGTATATTGTATCGTTTATCAGTTTTGTATAAATTAGAATAGATATATGTGAGAGGGCTAACATGGGTTGGTTTATGCAGAGTGTGGGGAGTTTGGAAAAAATAGCTCCTCAATCCATTGGGTCTACTTATACAATAGTTCAATACCTTGAATTTGAATATAGACTTGATTCCCTTTGATATAAAAGCATTCATATGATTAAAAATAATTGTAAAATGTACATTTTTTAGCAAAGTAATATCAATATAAAACAATAACATTCACTCTCTGTGGCCCCATCAAAAAGAAAATCAAAATCTGTTTTAAGTCAAAACAAATTTTTGTATCTTGGTACAGTTTTTATAAACTTAAATTATTTACTTATTTTTGTATTGAATTTTATAATATAATAAAATTAGTCGGATATAAAATAATAGGTTTATTTAATCTGTTAAAGTTTAAAATTTAAATGAATAACAAACCCATTACCGTAAATAAACTAGTTTAATGGCGTAATCCCTGTCCTCCAGTCGATGTCTACCCTTAACTACAACACCGAATATACCGCACCCTATGGTCCGCTCACTCAACGCAAACTCATCCAAACCACTGCCCCATAAGTAGGACTCTATGTTTGCGAGGGGAACAGTAGCCATTAGATCCAGATCAGTTACTATAAATAATGATTTAGAATAATAAGTTGCAACATATATATATATATATATATTTAATCAAATATATACCTGCTTGTTAACCACCCTGGTCATCAACTTTAATAGGTTCTGCCAAATCAAAAATGCCCTCATAATTTTTGTTTTTAATTTTAGCAATCATTTCATCCTCGTACTGTTTCAATTTTTCGTTTACGTAATGTTGGAAAAACTCGTTGAAACTTAATCGTCATTTAGCTTGCTCATTTAATATGTCCTGACACGTAGTCCGTCGAGTGTAGTGTAGTTTGTATTGGATTTTGTTAATCATGTTTAATAAGTGTTGAGTTTTATCGGAGTTTTTATCGGACACTAATTCAAAGTCAATGCCAACGATTAGTGAGACTATCAATAAGATTTCAGATGAAAAACAAAAGTTTAAAGACATGTCGACCGAAGAGAAAATGGATGTAATGTTTGATAAGATACTGGATTTGGATCTCAAACAGTCAAAACCATCAAAAATTTCCACAAAACACAATTCTTTAATTCAAATCATCAGAAAAAGTTCCCTAAGAATAATGACTTTCATTATAATAGAGACCAAAACTTTTCCAACAATAACAACAATTATAACATATTCAATGGCAATAATAGAGACCAAAGATTTTCTAATAACCACAATTTCAACACAAATAATAGGTATGACTATCAACACCAAAGGTATGATAATAATCATCACTCCAATAGCAACAGAAACTTCAGTCATAACTATAAGAATCCGAATTCAAATCACAACCTATTATATGATATCCTCAAACAAAATCAACAAATCCTCAATAATATGAATCAAAACTGTGAACTCATCTCATTTTTTAGGCCAATATCCCATTCCCAACACATATCCTCAAACACAAAACATGACAATCAATTAAATGGCATTTCTCTAAATTTTAGAAGTATTTACAATAAGTTATATGAATTTGTAGCATATCTTAACACTTATAATATTGACATTTTCTTAGGTTGCGAAACATTTTTAGACAATAGTATCACTAATAACATGATTTCTGATAAACACACAATTTATAGGAGTGACAGAAATAGACACGGAGGGGGTGTCATAATTGGTATAAACAAATGTGTTAAAAGTTTAGAATTAGATATTAATTCAAACTTATTTGAATCAATTACTGTACAAATAATATGCAATAATAGAAAATGTATTTTAAGCTCTGTATATATCCCTCCCAATGCTAACACGTATTATTCAAGAATTTTATGTTTTTATAAAACAATTATATTCTAAATATTCCGATAATTATATTATTATTTGCGGAGATTTTAACATTGATTTATTGAATAATAAAAAAACAGTTTACTTTAGATTTACTAAATATTATTAATGAATTTGGTTTCAAGCAAATGGTGAATAGATTTACTTATCCCACCAATGTTAAATACTCTGCTAATCAATCACTATTAGACTTAGTCATAGTAAATGACATGTATATTATAAATAATCTCTCTGTAAATAACAGTATTACTGAAACTTGTGATCACCTTTTAATTGATTTTGTAATTAAGTTAACAAAACATGAGTCTAAAAGATATATCAAAACTATTATTGATTATAACAATGAAAGTAATTTAAATATATTTGAATGTAAGCTAAAAGAAGTTAATTGGGATTCAATGATGTTGTGTTCTAATGACATAATATCATATATAATACCATTTTGGGTAAAATTATTGAATTAAAGGAACAATGTTTTAAATCTAAGATTTTTGTAAGTAAAACACATAATACGCCAAAACATATCAAAAAACTTATTTTAAAGAAACGAGTTTTCTAAACTTTTTAATGAGACAAATGATGAATATTATGAATTTTGTGTTAATTTTTTGTATCAACGGATTAAACATGCTATTTGAGTACAATTCAATTTTTTATAATAAATATATTGATAAATCAGATAATTTGAAAACATTATACAAGTATATTAAACAAAAGTCGGATAAAATTGAAAGCAATGTTTTTATTGATACAAACAATATGCTAGCAAATGATTATGACATATGTAACGCATTTTCCAATTATTTCAAACATAATTATAGTCAAATAACTTATCCTGATTATCAAACAAACATTTTTACTAATGAAACCTTAAATACATATACAATCACTCAAACTGACGTTTTGAGGGAAATATTAGATATGAAAGCAAATAAAAGTTGTTTAAAGTCAGAAATTCCTAATATTTTAATCAAAAAATGTCCCGAAGTTTTCAGTCAAATACTTTTCAAACTATTCAATAAAATTATAGAATATTCAGTAATTCCTGATTCTCTTAAAACAGTAACAGTTATTCCTATTCACAAAAAATTCTGTTAATTCCTACCGTTGTGTCACAATTGAGAACAACTTATTAAAACTTTTTACAAAACTAATTTTCAACAATATTTCTGCTTTCATATACAAAAACAATATTATCCCTAAAACAAAGTATGGTTTTACTCCTGGTATGAGTACAACACATCAATTAATAGACATATTATATTTTATTACAAATTCATTTAATCGTAAAAACTTGATATGTATTGACATAATTTTTCATGATTTAAGCAATGCTTTTGATTGTATAACATTTGGTTCAATACTTGAAACGCTATGAAAGTGGTCGCAGAGACGAAAGTTTGACTTTAATTGAGAGTTATCTGTATAATCGTAAGCAATGTATAAAATCTAATGACATATTGTCTGATCCAGAAGTGATATCTTCTGGTGTCCAACAGGGAGGTACTGGAAGTCTTCTTCTATTTAATATTACTGTAAAAGATTTGATACAAATTGTAAAATACTCTCAACTATTTCAATATGCGGACGATTCGTGTGTTTTGAAGTGTATTTATAATAATGAAGACGTGAAGGGACTTCAAACAGATCTGAATTCAATCAATGAATTGTTTGCTAATAAAAATCTATTAATTAATTCAACAAAATCAGTGCATTTAAGGATAACATTTAAATCGTGTGAATCTATTGGTGACTATTTTATTAATGGATCCCAAATACCTCACCATTCATCTCATAAACACTTGGGTTTATATATTGACAACAAGTTATGTTTTAATGAACACATAGATTATGTAATAAATAAGTCTCTCAGCAAATGGGCATTCATTAAGAAATTGTGTTGTTTCGCTAATTTTTCAACATTATTAAAATTATAAAAGACTTTTATATTACCTCTCATTGAATATGGATCGCTATGTCTTATATTAAATACAACACAATCTGTAAAACTAGAAAAAATTCAGCGAAAAATCACGAAATATATTAGTTTTATTGGTTTTAATCAACATTTTAAATATAATGAAAGACTGAAACTATTAGATATTCCTTCACTAAAAACTCGAAGACATTTAAATACTCTTAAAGTAGTTTTTAAATGTATGTATGATTTTAATGACAAGCCCTGTGTTTGGAAATCATTGTATAAGATATCAGACAATCACCGAAATGGCATATTATTAAAACCGATTACTCGCAATAACTTTTGTGACAAAAACCGTTTCATCTATTCAATTAATTTATTCAATAATTTACCAAAGATTATAAGAAATGAGACTAATTTTAAGATATTTTTAACCAAATGTGAAATATTTTTTAATGAAAACTAATTGTATTATAATTTCTTTATTATTATTCAACTGTATTTTAATCGACAAGTTTTGATTAATAAACTATTATTATTATTATTATCGGCGATTAATTGTACTTTCTTATATCGATCTTGTTTTCCGTTAATAATTAAAAATTAGATTATTTTAAAAATAGATCGACTAAAATATACATACGCTTTCGAAATCATAAAGGTAAAATGTTAATCATTGTATTGTTAAAAGTATATACGCATAACTCAATTCCCCAACAATTAAATTAATTTTATATAGAGTTGTATTAATCTAAATATTATTACTAATAACTATTATTTATGACAATATTTCTCTGAACACTTATCAACACATATGTCTAATATTTTATAAGCAGTCTATGAGTACTGATAAAAAATATAAAGTATTTCAACCAGACCTGGAGATATGGGGTCATTTTTCCTGAAACGGAAATTCTGAAAAAATTGTTTTTTGAGGCCCCTTTAGCAAATCAAAATCAATCAAATTTCAATTAAAATAACATTAATATTCATTTATTTATCAAAATAATTGTATATTTATATTAATAAAACATTTGTAAAAGATTCACAAATATATAAAGCATAGATTAACATTTACAATAAATATTTTTTAAATTGAATATGATTAAACACTTTTATCAAATTACTCTGATTTAAATTTACATTTGCCCCTTTGACCAAAAATAATTTTTTTTGAGAATTTCCGTTTCAGGAAAAATGACCGCATATCTCCAGGTCTGGTTTCAACTTAAATGTCATTTAACAGCATATTATACCAAATATTTTGTTATGGGAAAATTAAATAAAATGGCAACATATAAATATATTTAAAATTAACTTGTTTGTTTTAAATGAAATTTACTTTTCTATTGTAAATTCAAAATAATAAACAATTAAGACAATTTTAAAACTTAAGACTACAATTATGTATTTATGAAGAAATCCGGAATGTATTTTTAAATGCAAACTGTATTTGTAACTAAGCCATAGTATTGATAGAATACATGAATATGTGATGTACTATTAATATTATGATTGGTATGTATACAGTTTGCATTGAAAAATACATACCGGTTTTCAAAACCCAGCGGATCAATTCTAAAATCATAGTGCTGAAGTTTATATAGACTTCTGTAAACACCATGTCCAGGTCCAAATTTTATATTCACGGAATGAATTGTAATTATTATCATATTGATATATGAAGTTTTTAATGACAAATAATCAAAAAATCATTATTCTAACTGTAAGGATTAATGAG